ATTATTATTTCATGTTTAAATTTATATATGCAATATACAGGTAAACTAAAATCGAAAATTTGGGAGCCCAGTGGGTGGCACCACTTGCACACCCTCAGGGCCGGCTTTGAGGCCTAATATAGAACCATGACTAGAACTTGTTGTGAAACTGACGTGGCTTCGATATCTTCTAAGGGATTTGGGTTTATTACATCCAAAACCAGCCTTACTACATTGTGACAACAACATGGGTCTCCATATTGCTACTAATCCAATTTTCATGAATGAACTAGACATATGGTGACATATTGCCACTTTATTCAAGATAAGATATACAAGATGATTTAGTTGTCACCAAATATGTTCCCTCTTCACACCAACTCGCAGATGATATTCACAAAAGCATTGGGAAAGAAAACTTTCTCAACTGTTGTAAACAAGTTGAGAGTTCTCAACATCCACTCTCTAACTTGAGGGAGAGTGTTAAGAATGAGAAGTCAACGATAGTATCCTTGGTAGTTTTGGCTTAGTATAGGAAAAAAAATTTGTAGTTGTTTAGTATAAGGAGTATATATTCCTTTCGTATATGTAGAATGTAGGCTAAATTACTTCTTTGTTAAGTGAACCTCTTTGTATACAGTCTTCGTATCAATAGAAGAAAACTTACTTCTGCAAATATATTGTATACGCGATTTTACTAATTAAAGATTCTAGCAATGATTATGTGGCAGAATATCATTGTAGGACGTGATAAAGAGCAACTTCCTCCAAGAGATTATCTTATTAATGCTTTAAATTTGTTCCTTTTTATTGCCTTGACATACCATTTATTAATTAACTTATCCCATAGAAGATGGTGATGTTTATAAACGGATGAATATTGTATCAGAAATTAGACCTAGCATGTTAAAACACAACTAATAAACGGATAAGAGATCAAAAGAATAGAATGCAAAAGGGAAGTACAAGAGGAGTTTATTCGGAAGTGCAAATAGCGCATCTCAAAACATAAACAAAGCATTTGGCATTCAGAGAGCTCCCGTTGTGAGGCAACTAGCTAGAAGTAAAGGAAGAGTTATTAGTTGGTCCTAAGATTCAAACTCAAGGAAATCATGAAATGTAATAAACTGTGAGGAAGAGACCGGTGGCCAGGTGAGATAGTTCAAACATGGGCCTTGCCCTTGGGATCATCTTCAAAGTCATCCATGAATCTCTTCCAGAACCAATGTTGCTTCCAGACTCTTTCTGTCATCTCTTCGATTGGGACACCCTTGGTCTCGGGAATTAAGAACATTGCAAAGATTGTCATGACAAGGACCCAAGCACTAAAGAACAGGAAGATGCCAAACTTCATATGGCAAAAGCATTGAGAGGAAGGCTTGTGCTATAACAAAGGTGAAGAGCATGTTGATGCACACAGCCACACTCTGGCCAGCTGAGCGAGCTTCCAAAGGGAAAGTCTCACTAGGAATCAACCACCCGAGAGGTCCCCAAGACCATGCAAAGGAGGCAACAAAACTGCAAACCATAATGACAACAAGAATAGCCATGCCTTGGGTAAGGTTGTTAGAGTTATCCTGGACTTTGAGTCCCATCACTATTGCAACCACCATTTGAGAAAGGAACATTTGGACCCCGGCTTCTAATAAGAGCATGCGGCGACCAGCTTTGTCAACAAAGTAGATTGATACAACGGTTGATAGCACGTTGACAGCTCCTGTTATAACAGCTGAGTAGAGGGAGGCATCGCTCTTAAAACCCAACGTCTGAAACAAAACCGGAGCGTAGAACATGACTGCGTTGATGCCAGTGAATTGCTGGAACACCTGCATCATAACTGCAATGACCAGTTGTGGCCTGTTCCTACGCTTAAGGAGATTTTGGAAGGGATTCTTCACTTCTTTAGCCACCCGACTTGCCTCAACAATCTCTAAGAATTCTGGATCCACATTGTCAACACCACGAATCCTTTTAAGAACTGCTTTTCCTTCCTCCAACTTGCCTCGTTCAATCAAACTGTTAGGAGTGTCTACCACAATGAGCGACCCCAAGGTTAGCAAACCGGCTGGAATCCCAGCCAAACCCAGCGATACCCTCCATCCATATCCTCCCGTAATTCTGCGCATGTATGGTAAACAAAATATTACTTAGTTGTATATTCTTTCAAGTGATTGGAACATATTACTACGCTAAAATTTGTGGGCTCAGAACTTCAGATCTTGTCTTTTGAATTAGCTAGCAAGATTGGGCCGGCTTACTTGTTAGTTCCGTAATTGATAAGGTTTGCAAAAAGAATGCCAATGGTAATATTGAGTTGGAAGAGGATGTTAAGTGCCCCTCGAATTCTTGTGGGTGCAATCTCCGAAAGGAAAAGCGGTACCGCCTGTAGTTACGTATATTTCTTAGTAAACGTATTGTGTTCAAAAACATTTAACAGGAAAATCCAGCTGGCATTAGCAATTGAGTAGCAGGCAGTTTATTGAAAAAAAAAAAGAAAAGATTATTACAAATTTATACTATATACCTGGTTAGCAAAACCAACTCCACAACCAAGCAAGATCCTCCCTATGATAAGCATGAGAAGGTTAATAGCTGCAGCATTAAAAACTGTTCCGATTATGAAAAATATCCCGGCAATAAACATAGTTAGCTTTCGGCCTAGTGATCTGGTTGTGTACGAGGCAACGAAGGTTGACATTAAAGCAGCCAGGTACAATGAAGATGTGAACAACTGCAAGCCTTGATTATCATATTTGCAGTAGTTGCTCTCAAGTCCAGGCTCTTGAGTCATCTTATACACAACCGGGAAGAATTTCTTCTGGAAATGGGGCATGGATGTAACACCCCCTGCGTTGTATATCCATATATCAAATTAAACAGAATTATACGTGAAATCTAATAAATTTTCTACAAAACACGTACGTTAATAGTTAATTGTATGTGTGGATGCGACGGAAAGCTCTTGAGTCACGTATATGTACCTGAGATACCAACATCATAACCAAACATGAGGCCTCCGCTAGCGGCCATTATGCAAGAAATGATCACAAGAGGCGTGATCTTTGCTTCAAAGTCTCCGCCTCCCGATGCGGCCCCAAACCCACCGCCTGCCATGGTTTTCTCGCTCTTAATTAAGTGCTCAAACTTATTTTTGCTGCACTATATGTCACAGTATCGAATTTGATGAATGTGGAATTTTTTTTTATGTATTAGATGATCTAAGGAAACTCTAGAAGAGGAGACTAGCTTGTTGAAATAAGACGTGTGCTTGTGGGGTTTATATGCTGAAAAACTTTGTGGCAACAGCGAGTGAGCTACGTAGAAAGTGGATGATTTAGTCACTACCACGGTCAGGATCTTTCCCCATGGCATGATCTACGGTTGAATTTCTTTCTTTATGCTTGGTCAGGCATTCACGAGAAGTTAGTTGCACCAAAGTTGATCGAGTCTGTTATGAGTAATGCTTGAACGACCACATTTCTTTGCGATATGTGGCAGGTAATCCGTCAACTGTAAGGTCCATTTGACTGAAATTGCCCGTGTGTCTAGGAATCTAGTACGCATAGGTTTATTAGAATATGATTTCATATTTGCCACAAAGGATCAAAGGGTGACACTTGTGCACTTTTGCGGCTAATCCAATTTGACTATCCTTTTTGTCCCATAGGAAGTTAGGCTCTCTAATATAGCATATGGATGAGTTTAATGACATAACAATTTCTAAGGTGTCAAAAGCTGTTCTAATACAAGTAGATATAATTCATACGAAAATCCAAATCTTATAAATCCTCCAAATTTTCAAGGATCTATATGCGACCAAAAATATTAATATGACTATATTTCACATGTTAAAACTACCTTGATAACTAAGCAAAGGTAAGAGCTTAAGCTCATCTGCGAAAGCAAGAAACCAATTTCTCTGTTATCTGTTGTCTATTCTCTCTTCTCCTCTCTTCATCCACCAGAATTTCTTCCTTCCCCTCTTCCTTAATGGCTTGACTTATTCTTTTACTGGCCTCAATACCTTTTCCTCTTGTGCACAAACGTACAATATTACACGTTGATCCTCGGAATGTTGCCTCCCTCCTACCCATTAAGCTCGCAGGCGATAACTACCTACTTTGGGTAGTCCATTTATCCCAGTATTGCTGACATATTATAAGCTTGGCCGTATCATAGTTAGATCTGAAACATGTCTACCTCAATATCGTTCCACCAACATTGAGAATTCCTCTTTAACACATTGGATAACAAAGGATAGAACATGTAAGACTCGGATAAAATCACCCCTATTGAGAGTGTTCTTCCCCATACTGTTGGATATTGGCTCAATCTTGAGAAATATATTTCTGCCATTACAAGGCCTCGCTTTAGCTTAAACGAGCAAAAGAGCTCGAGCAATGCACGGGTTTTAAAACTTCGTTACATGTGTGGGACTTGTAAAAATTTATTCACATCCATATCAAAATCTATTCACATCCCTATGTTCTATAGAGACCAAATCATACATAAAAATTGTCTTATTTACATCCATATAGTTATAATACACAAAATATCTTGTTTTCTATGTCCCAACTTTTCATATTGTTGTTCAGTATTTTACTCTTCTTTCTTCTTTGCTGCTAAAGAGATGTTTTTCTTGTACCACGCATAGGATTTTTAGAAATGGATCAAAACTAACATGCGATTAAGAACTTGTGTGTTTCACTTGCTTATTGATTGGGTTACAATCTCAACATAAGAAAACATTCCATGATCTGGAAAAAAAAAACATAGTTAAGAAAAGAAAGAAGCTCATTACTTTGCTTTCATTATTGGTTGTGAATTTACTCAGAATACCAATTGGATGAAAAGGTATTAATTCATGAATTATAGGAAAGGAGACAACAAATGCAAAAGTTATTTTGTATATATATATTATACGAAACACGCAAAAGGGATTGAAGTTCCTCCTATTATGCAAGTACATAAAGATTAGAACTAACCACTTGAAATGTCTCTAGCAATTTTCCAACTTTTGCCCCGAGTAGGTGTGCATGTTGCTCTTCATCAGTCACTCCATCAAACATTATGTATTCAATGAAGATTTTTTGTTGACTGCAGAATCAGATAAAAGGGCTATAGTGAGATTCTCTAGGAGTGTAAAACGATAGTAAAAGTTTCATTGCAAACAAATGAAAGCTAAAATAATTTATTAAACGCATGAGGTGTAATAAAACTTTATGTGTTCTCTTGGTAGTCTTGCAATGCATCCATGAGCTTTACTAAAGGAAAAGCTCAAGTTGCAGGCATTATCTGACAACAAATTTCTTGGACGGATGCGTGAAGTGAAACTGCTAATCCATGGCTAGAAGATCACTATGGAGCTTTTTGATAGCATGAATAATGCCGACCTACAGAAGATTAGATGCACAACTGACAGCGTCTTGTTGCTCTCTGTATTCGAAGAAAAAGTTATATTCAGCCTCCTCCAACTCCAGGCTTCTCTTCTCCTATGGTATCCAAGCTCAAGAAAGCGATTTACGTTAACGCCCCCGACAAGGCTTAATCAGCTCCTTTTCCGAAATAAAGCAATTATTGCTGTTCAAAAGACTTTCACAAAACCTGTTTTACAAAGTGATGTAGTGACCAGTCCTCCGCGTCAACAACGCTCTAGTACTATACTACAAAATAAATGGTCATTTGCGAGGGTCAAATGTCGTTTGAAAATGCATTTTGCCATCGCGAATACTTATTGACGACGGGAAAAATCCCTCGTTGGGTGTCGCAAATTGATCCGTTGGAAATATTTTTTTTTCGACCAACCGTCAAAATGCTTCATTTACGACGCTTGTGGCTTGTCGTTACTAGTTATCTTTTAGTCGGAATTGATTTTTCAAAATGACAAAATTATTTTATATTTCGACATGTCTATGTGGTCGCAAATACATTATGACAAAATTATTAAGCTAATGAGTCATACAATGAAGCTCTGGGAGAGAGTCATTGAGCATAGATTGAGGCAAGAGACACGGGTTTCGGACAACCAATTCGGGTTCATGCCAGGGCGCTCAACCATGGAGGCAATCTATCTCTTACGAAGATTGATGGAAAGATATAGAGATGGGAAAAAGGATTTACACATGGTCTTTATAGATTTGGAAAAAGTGTATGATAGGGTCCCAAGAGACATTCTTTGGAGGATTTTAGAGAAGAAAGGAGTACGAGTAGCATATATCCAAGCTATAAAGGATATGTATGAAGGAGCAAAGACTGCCGTAAGAACTCATGAAGGACAAACCGAAAGCTTTCCCATAACTGTAGGATTACATCAAGGCTCATCCTTAAGTCCTTACCTTTTTGCGTTGGTAATGGATGAGTTAACAGGACATATTCAAGATGATATTCCTTGGTGTATGCTTTTCGCAGACGATATAGTGTTGATAGATGAAACTCAGGAAGGGGTAAATGCAAAGCTTAACCTTTGGAGAGAAGTGTTGGAATCTAAAGGTCTTCGCCTAAGCCGATCAAAGACAGAATATATGGAGTGCAAGTTCAGTGCAAATGGAGGCCAAAACGAGTTAGGGGTGAGGATCGGAGATCAAGAAATACCAAAGAGCGACCGTTTTCGTTACCTAGGATCTATCTTTGCAAAAGAACGGAGAATTAGATGGAGATCTCAACCATAGAATACAAGCTGGATGGATGAAGTGGAAGAGTGCATCCGGCGTGTTGTGTGACCGCCGTATGCCACTGAAGCTCAAGGGAAAATTTTATAGGACGGCAATAAGGCCAGCGATGCTGTATGGCACAGAATGTTGGGCGGTGAAGCATCAACACATACACAAAATGGGTGTAGCGGAGATGAGGATGCTTCGTTGGATGTGTGGGCACACGAGAAAGGATAAGATTAAGAATGAGGATATCCGGGGTAAAGTAGGAGTAGCCGAAATTGAAGGCAAGATGAGAGAAAATCGGTTACGGTGGTTTGGACATGTGCAACGAAGGCCTACTGACGCTCCGATTAGAAGATGCGACTATGGGACAGAGGTTCAGGGCCGAAGGGGTAGAGGAAGACCTAGGAAAACTTTGGAAGAGACTCTAAGAAAAGACTTAGAGTACTTGGATCTAACGAAGGACATGACACAGGACCGAGCACAATGGCGTTCTAAGATTCATATAGCCGATCCCACTCAGTGACTTGGATTTTCCAAGTCTCCAATCGAGAAGTTTTCCTCACTCGGGAAATTAAGGGAACACTACCCCAACCTACATGCTCCATTCAGAAAGTTTCAACATACAAGCTTCAACAAAAGAAAATTCAAAGAACTTAGCGAAGAAGGTTTTGGTGTATTTAACACAATATGTTGAAATGAAGGAAAACTTATTTATTGATATCCCCGATAAGCTACAAATGTGTACATATACATGAGTCAAAATAAACAAACAAGAGGGAGCCTTCACAAGGGTTGCTTAGGAGAAGTCTCAGCAGTCGGTAGAGCCCCAGAAAGAGAAGGCACCGGAGGGGGATCATTCGGAACCTCAGTACTGGACAGAACCCTAGAAGGAGGAGGCATCAGAGGTTGATTATTTGGAGCTTCATTACGCGGTACAGCCCCAGAAGACGAAGGCAATAAATGCCTTTGGAACAAACCCACAAATCTCTGATGATCAAGTAAAACCTGACCATCAGTTTCCTTCATCTGGTCAAGCTTCCTCTTCATGTTTGTAGCATAGTCATGTGCGAGCCGGTGCAACTGTTTATTCTCATGCTTGAGCCCTCTAATCTCCTGTTTGAGACTCATCACCTCAGCCGCCAATGATTCAACTTGGCGGGTTCGAGCAAATAGGCGTTGGGCCATATTAGACACAGAACCTGCACACTGAACACTGAGAGCCAGCGAATCCTTAACAGCTAACTCATCAGACCGTTTGGAAAGTAGTCTGTTATCTTTGGGAGTGAGAAGGTTCCTGGCCACCACCGCAGCAGTCATATCATTCTTCATCACGGAATCCCCAACGGTAAGAGGACCAGTAGGGGAGACGAAGGATGGGCGCCATATGTTGTCTGGAGAAGGCGGGGCTGCCTCTTCAACAAGGTTCAAGTCAAAACGACGGTCGGAGGGGCCAGACATTTTCAAAGGTGTTGAAGAGAGAAGAGGTTGGACAAAATCAAGATCTTAGAAGTGCAAGAATGGAGCTTCTACTGGTGGAGATTCAAGTGTGCTTTGGAACTTAATGCTAGCCCCTATAAAAATCTGCACTCGACGGATCTTCAGAAATCGAAGAGGCGCCTGCTCAGAAATCGAAGAGGCGTTTGCTTTCTCAAAAGCTGGGCTGCTTAGAGACCACGAGGGTTGATCTCAGAAATCGAAGATGCGTTTGCTTTCTCAAAAGTTAGGCTGCTCAAAGACCACGAAGGCCGATCTCAGAAATCGAAGAGGCGCTCGCTTTCTCAAAAGCTGGGCTCCTCAGAGACCACGAGGGCCGATCTCAGAAATCGAAGAGGCGCCTACTTTTCCAGCCTTGTCAGCACCTGTCACACGCACACTCAGCTTTGCGGAAATTATGGGCATTCTGTCGAAGACTTCTGAGGAAGTAGAAACACATGAATCTTACTGTTCAATCACCCACTTCCCACACGCAACACTAGCTCATGGGTACCACAGATAACTTTGCCAAAGTTCTCTGCCAAAATTGAGCACATAAAGCTTGCAGCTCCCACTACATCGCTCTGACCAAGAAAGGTAAAAGAATAGCAAAGAAACAGCACTAACAAAGTTTAGACCCATAAATTTTGAAGGTCTAGCTACCATATTATTACCCACAAGGGTAAAGGAACAATACCACTGCTGGATAATTGGAAAGTCCATGTGTGTCAACCTCTGTGCTTCGTGGCAAGGTAGACTAGTAAACATGCCCAACCTTTACTCACACTCGAGAAAACACTACCAATAAGATTGCTTGCTCCAAAATCGAAGAGGCACCGTCCTCCGAATCTCGAGAGCCAGACTCCCAACATGACTACTTTCTCAAAAATCGAAGAGAGGGTAAAGGAACAGTACCATTGCTGGATAATTGGAAAATCCCTGTGTGTCAACCTCTGTGCTTCGTGGCAAGGTAGACTAGCAAACATGCCCAACCTTTACTCACATTCGAGAGAACACTCCCAACAAGATTGCTTGCTCCAAAATCGAAGAGGCACCGCCCTCCGAATCTCGAGAGCCAGACTCCCAACATGATTACTTTTCTCAAAAATCGAAGTGACACTGCTCCCCGAATCTCGAGAGCCAGACCCCCATCATGATTGCTTTCTTAAAAATCGAAGATGCATCGTTCTCCGAATCAATCGAAGAGACGCTCGCTTTCTCAAAAGCTGGGCTGCTCAGAGACCACGAGGGCCGATCTCAGAAATCGAAGAGGCACCTACTTTTCTAGCCTTGTCAGCACCTGTCACACGCACACTCAGCTTTGCGGAAATTATGGGCATTCTGTCGAAGACTTCTCGAGAGCACAGACCACTTTTTTCAAAGTGCTCTGACAGAGTTAAAACATGTGAAGCTGGCAGCTCCCACTACCGTGCTATGACCAAGCAGGGTAAAGGAATAGCATTACTACTTGTTGTTAGGGAGACTCCTATATATGTCGACCTCCATCCCCAACGGACAGGCAAACCTGCAAAAATGTTCAACCCTTCCTCATATTTGAGAGGGCACTCCCAACGAAGCCTTTCGAAATATTCAGCTTTCTTTCCCCCCGATAATACCTTTGCAAACAAGCTATACTAGAGCAAGAATATCTCATATCATCAGGGTTAAAAGCAAGAGTATCCCATATCATGCTTTTTCCCTGTCTTTTCCTTTGGCCTTGTTGTTACCTGCAAGACAAGGAGAAAGAGAGCAATCATCAGTCAGCACTTGGAATCAAGCTTCCAGCCAGGAACTGACTGCCTGGAACCCCTTACCTGATTACTTACCTGGCATTGCTCTCGAGTACTCATCTTCAACATCTTATGTTTCCAGGGAAGATACCGCATCTGCTTGAGGAACAGATAGGGCAAGTGCGAAGGATACAAGGAAGCATGTGGAGACAAGCGTAACAGCACACGTGCCGATACA